AAACCTGCATTAGGCACGCCTTCCTTCCAAGAACCATCTATATGGCAAATTACCCTTTTGAGATCCAAAGACGTATCTTGTGGACCCATCGGTATTATCACCTCTGCATTTGTCTATGCATCATTCCACGCATGAATATCTTATCATTCCTTATTTTTCAGTTATACCATAAAATCCAAAAATATACCTTCATGTCTTCATGATCCAGAAGATGCCAAATATGTAACTGTTCTTATAATTCACAATAAATTAGTATTAACAAATATCTACTTGATTTGCTTTACTAAAATATAGACAAATACTATCAAGATTCTTGATTTTCTTTACTAAAATGTAAACATATAAAAATTAAGATACAGAATACATAAATGAAATCATCAAATCAATAACAAGATAATATGAGATATACAAGTGAACAAATATTATTAGGGTTTAAGGATTCGATATGTTATGTAACATAGCAAAGAGAAATTACACTAAGCTGAGGGAGAGTGGATGGGCATCGTTGAGGAAAAGAAAGAGATCGTTTATCGATAAACGTGAGATGGCAAAATTGTCCTAACCAATAAAAAAAAACTGAATGATACCAAATAGTGAGATGGCAAACCGAACCGATTCTCAACAATGATCTTCATCTTACAAACCCGAAAAACTCGGAATCTTGAAAATCCCGAAGCAAACCGAATATCCAAATCTAGACAAAACTACAAAAAGTTATATAACGAAGGAAAAAGAACGAAAGAGGAAGAAAAAGATGGACCGTAGAATAACATTATTGTCTCAACTTAAACTAGTTAACAATTTAACACCTACTTTGAACTGTGGGGCAAATATATCTTCCGTGTAATAACAACACACATCACGTGTCTCAACCAAACCAAGTTCCAATAGAGTTTAGAGACATCACTTTCTCGATATAATCTCAAGTCCCCCATACACACACACACACACAAACACCAAAACATTATCACGTCTCTCAAATCTTATCATCCCAAACCAAACCAAACCAACTCATGGATTCCGAGATCGCCGTCGACTGCTCTCCGCTGCTCAAAATCTACAAGAGTGGCCGCATCGAACGCCTCATGGGCGAAACCACCGTCCCAGCGTCTCTAAACCCTCAAAACGGCGTCGTGTCTAAGGACGTCGTGTATTCTCCCGACAACAATCTCTCCGTTCGTATCTACCTACCGGAGAAAGCCGCCGAGACCGGAAAGAAACTTCCTCTCCTCGTCTACTTCCACGGCGGTGGCTTCATCATTGAAACGGCTTTCTCTCCGACTTACCACACTTTCCTCACCGCGGCTGTCTCTGCTTCCGACTGTGTAGCGGTGTCGGTGGATTACCGGCGTGCACCGGAGCATCCGATTCCGATCTCGTTGGATGATTCATGGACAGCTCTCAAATGGGTATTCTCCCACATCGCCGGATCTGGCTCGGATGATTGGTTGAACAAACACGCCGACTTCAGCAAAGTGTTCCTCGCTGGAGACAGCGCCGGAGCGACCATCGTTCATCACATGGCGATGAAGGCTGGAAAAGAGAAACTCAGTCCCGATTTGGACGAAACGCCATCAGGAATCTTTGGAATCATCTTGGTTCATCCTTATTTCTGGTCGAGAACTCCGATCGACGACAAGGAGACGAAGGATGCAACGATGAGGTCAAAGATCGAGGCTTTTTGGATGATGGCTAGTCCCAACAGCAAGAACGGGACGGATGATCCGTTGATCAACGTGGTGCAATCAGAGTCGGTGGATTTGTCTGGATTGGGTTGCGGAAAGGTTCTGGTAATGGTGGCTGAGAAAGATGCTCTGGCGAGGCAAGGTTGGGGTTACGCGGCGAAGCTTGAGAAGAGCGGCTGGAAAGGGAAAGTGGAGTTGGTGGAGAGTGAAGGAGAAGAACATGTTTTTCATTTGACGAAACCTAATTGTGAGAAAGCTCTTGAAGCCTTGAAGATATTCGCAGGGTTTATTAAGGGAGAGATGCAGTTAGCTCTGTAACGATAACAATCTTAAGAACATTCTCTGTAATGTTGTTTCAGTGTTATGTCAGAGATGCTTTGTTGACAAAATGAATTAAAGTAATCTGAAGAAAAGACAATTACCTCAGAGGGAAGTCAGAAAAGCTGTTAGTTTTGTTTCCCTCGCGAAAAAAGTATTCATTCTTCATAAATAAAGATTACGAAAACTGCTTCTATGTGTATCTTCTCCTATTGTGAGAGAAGGAAAGAAGTTTTCACCATTATCATCTCATAAAAAGTTTGAACACAATGATACGAGTTTAACAAAAACAAACAGAGAAGACAACATTTGAAACAGAGCTTTGCATTTTTGTTGTTGTTCCGCAGCTACTTATTCAGATCAGTTTCGAAACCGGTAAAAACAAAAAAGGAGGAAGCTTCTAAATGAGGGAAGTAGCCAGAAACCTGGAAAAGGAAAGCTTCTAGACGGCAATCCCAAGGGACTTCTTGAACTTCTCAACCTCTAGATAGACAGTTGAGTAAGGTAAGAACTCAGAGAAGTAATCTCCACTAAGGTGGTTAATGGCAACAGCGAGTTTCGGGATCTCTAAGGTTTCTTCATTGGTGAGTGCTCGGATAAACCTTGCCGGGTTGCCTCCCCAGAGCTCACCAGATGGGATCCTTCTGCCAGGTGGCACAACGGAACCAGCTTCCAGGATTGAACGGGTCTCCACCAGTGAACCTTCCATTAGTATCGAGTGTTGACCGATGATGCATTCGGGTTCGATGGTGCATGATCTTAAGAGACTGTATGCACCAACTGTCACGTACCTATCGATCAATGTATCAGCTGGTAATCCTGAAAATTTTCAACGTAAAAAGTAACTTCCAAGATCAGATTTTCCCCCATCATATCAAAATTCTAAAACCAGCACTAAGGGTAATACTCTACCCTTCAAGATGTTAGAATTGAAAAAGCATGAAGACTGTTTTGTAAATACAGAGCTATTTGACCAGAGAAGATGGTGATTCAAGTAATTAAGTACTAGTTGTACACTTCAATGATCACTCGGAGTACTTAACTGTTAAACTAGAGCCTAATCAAGCTAAGAGGTTTTGTTGTGCTTAAAAACTTGACATGGAATTAAACCTTAGCAGGACTACAAGAAGCTACACTAATAAGGGTTGATGCAACATTGAATCCAGGTTCTGATTACAAAGTAGGAGATCAATAAAACAATAAATACTTACTATGACATTGTTCCAGAACTAATCCTGAGCATCTAAGCAACTTCCTGCTACTACACAAGATGGTCTTTTGTGGTGTTATCGCCATACTAATCTATTTATCTCCCGAATATTATGATCAAGCACAAGCCATCAAAGAGTTTCTTGCATAAACTATCACTAATCACCTAAAGTTAATACGTATTTTTATGCATTCTTGTCTAGTTAAGCACAAAATGCTTCGAAACCATCATTCAGGATTCTTGATCTAAGAATATTTCCACTCCACACACACTGTTTGCGCAAAACCAATATGCTTACTTCAGAGAAAAGTTGACAAAATATTCCCCTAAAATGTGAGCCTTTATCTTTCGATAACCTTAGATAGACGATGAAAATGAAACCCTAAATTTCAGTATCACTGATTCCATTTCGCTAGCAGGCAGTAACTACAGAAATTGGATAGCTAGAGCTCAACGTCTAATAGAAAACACATAAACTAATTCAAAATGGAATCGCACAGAGACTCAAATTCCGAAATGGCGATAGAAGAAGAACCTGTTGGGGAAGACCACGCGGCATGAACAACGCACCGTTCCTGGACATTTGAGCAGAATCCAAGGGTGATCTTGTTGAGATCTCCCCTCAAAACGGCACCGTTCCACACGGACGAGCCGTCCCAGACGGTGACCTGACCGGCCAGCACAACGTTAGGTGCCACGTAGGCGTCGACTGCGACCTTCGGTAGCCACTGACCCAGAGGAATGATCTGTCTTTGGCCTCTGTAGTCCCACTTCACCCGATCCGGCGACGGCGTCACCTCCGATTTCGGTTTGGGAACTTCCGTCGTCGCCACCGCTACCGCTTCCGCTGCGAAGTGACGCCGAATCAGATTCGAAGACACAGCTGAGGTGACGCCTCTTCTAGAGATTCGAGCTAGCGAGGCCGCCATTGTTATGGAATCAGGATTATTCAACGATTTCTGGAGAGAGAATGAGAGAGATAGAGAGAGCTTCCCGGAGGAGGAGACAGAGAAGGGTCGTCGGGAGATTCTTTGAAATCTGGAAAATGAGCCGTACGTATAGTAGCATTGGGCCTTGACGGGCTAAGTGGACCTGAGCCCAAATATAATGAGCCTAATCCGCTAGGAGATACATTTATGGTCTTTGGTTAGCAATTAAACATAGAAACAATACAAAGTCATCAAAGTATTGCTCATAGTAAAATTTCTATAAATTAATAATGTTGGGAGTTCAAAAATTTATTAATTTATAGAATTATTAATTAATTAATAAATTAATAATTAAAAATTAATAATTTATTAATTTATAGAAAGATATTTTAGTTTAAATTCAAAATATTTGTCAAAAAATAAAAAAATATTTTCAATAATGTAAAATTTATTTAAAAAAAATCATATAATTGAATTTAAAAAATAAATTAAACAATTTTTATAAACCTGAAACAACAATATAATTATATTTTACTATATTATATTATTCATATATTTTTAAATGTATAATTATTAATTTATCTAATGAGACTATTTTTACATAGAAATTTTTAAAAAAATTATTATCTTATTATTTTATTAAAATTTGTTAATTTATACACTGCTCAATTTGAGACCGATAAAAATTATTAATTTAAAATAATTATTAATTTATTAAGTATTAATTTATAGAAGTTTTACTGTACTAATAAGTTCTGATAAAGAGAGACAGAAACACAAGTTACACCAAACCGCATCGGCAGCTTTTTTTATTCAGTCCGGTCCATCATCGACCGGAAATAACCACCTTGTAAGCCATTAACCGCGAAAGCGTTTCGACTTGTGCCATTGATCGAGTAAACAAGTGACACCTTCTTCAAGTGTAGCCTTCCTATCTTCTTTTAAATTCCACAGCTCCGTTGAAATGTACCTCCCACTTGGGTTATACTCGTTTATCTCCAGCAAAGCTCTCGTCACCGCGTTATAAGGGCCATCTCCTAATTCTTCCCTAAGCTCCCTCAGCCTTTCGTCTTGATCATCTATCACTTCCTAAAACACAATTTTGATACCAAGCTTTAAATCTTTTCAAGAGAGAGAGATTCGACATAACCACACACACAAAAAAACAGCAAAGCACACGTGGTGTTACCACTTCTCTATCTTGATTTCCGAGCTTGATCCGCTTGAATGGCTGCCACAGTTGGTCTTTGAGGTATTCTTCCCAGAGCTGGAGAACATCGACTGCTCGATCCTCCACAAATTTCTCACCGTACTTCTGCTGCAATGCATCCAAGAATGGTTTCGTCACGAGCTCTCCCATTCTCCTGATACCGATTCCTGATTTTGATTTCCCTTCTTTCATAATCTACAAAAAACAAAATGCAGTGAAAATATAATAATAACCAATAGCTTGAATGAAAAAGAAACAACAACATGACCTTTTGATACGTACGTGTACCAATTCTTTACGAGCTTCTTGAAGCTCTTCGTTGGTTCTACGCTCTCTAAGGATTACGGTTTGGTAAAACTTGTCGAGCTCTGCGAGATCTTCTTCCCTTTGAGTTAAGTCTTTATAGATTTTTTCCACTTCTTCTACAATTTCATCGTCACCAACTGATCCCATGAGCTTCTTCACATTTAGCTTTCCTTTCAACTGCTCAATCTCTAGCTCGAGCGCTTGTTTCTGGTCTCTTTGTCTTTCTAGTCTTATGATTTTCTCATGAAGCTCCTCCTTTTGCCTCTGAGAGAGGGTTACACATCATCAACAACATCACAAATCAGATACAGAAGAAATACGTCAAAGAACAAAGTCTTTTACTAACCCTCTGAGACTCGGCCAATTGTTTAACATCTTCGTCTGCCTTTCGTTGTTCCATGTCAGCTAGTGCAAGAGAACTGTTCTTAGATGCATTCTGAAAGGACAAAAAAAAGACCGTAACTTTAATTCTGATATGACATTGTCTTAACACTCTCAACTCAATAATCAGATTTTGAGATCAATGGATAGATACCTGTTCAAGCTCTTCAGCCAGTTTCTTCCTCTCCGTTTCATTGTGTGCTTCCCTCTTTGCCAACTCCTTACTTTTATCATCGAGTTTCTTCTTCTCCAACTCCAACTGCGTCTTTATCTTCTCATGATCAGCAAGGATCTTCTCAACGTGTCTCTGTTCTCTCTCTTGCATAACACTCAGCTCTCGGTTATGCTTCCGAAGACTCTTTTCCTTCTCTTCCATCAACTCATTAAGCTCCTTTGACTTCAAAGAACACAGCTCCTCAATCTCCTTCATGTCTTTCTTCTTCTCTTCCACAAGCTGCGTCAGGTTCTGCACAAGCAACCGCTGTTTCCTATCCTCCTCTTCCGTAAGTTCTGCTATGGTTTTGAGATCACCCTTCTTCCTCAGGTTCTCTCCGATGATATTACTCCCGTTGTAATCATCAGCACGAGCAAGCCACGCGTAAAGCCCCGACTTGGGACCACCGTCTTTCTTGAACCAGTCTTTCTTCCCATGACCATCTACTCGATAAGCCTTGTCGAAGCGAAGAACATCGTGAAGTCCATTCCAGTCTTTGTTGAACTCCACGATCGCTGTTCCTGAAAACCCCCAGTGACTCCATAAAGTACGAACCCTAAGCGGGTTGAATCCTCTTTGAATGTACTCATCCCTAAGATTTGATCCGCTCTCGCCCGCAGGTCGACCAGTTTGTGTCTTTGTAGTTGGAATGTTCACCACAATGCCTTCAATATAAGGAAGAAAGCATTAACCTTTGAATAAATATCAGATAAACATCATTACTCCAAGTTCTCATATCTTAGGATAAGCTAACAAAGTGAGTATCTTTAGAGTTAAGTAAGTAACTTTATAGTTTGTACTTTTCCACGGATACATATCAGATAAACCCCATTACTCAAATTTCTCATATCTTAAGATAAGCTAACAAAGTCAGTTTCTTTAGCGTTTAGTACTATTTCACTTCAATCTAAGGGGAACAAAGTATTAACCTTTGAATACATATCCGATAAACATCATTACTCCAAGTTCTCATGTCTTAGAATAAGCTAACAAAGTGAGTTTTTTTTAGAGTTAAGTAAGTAACTATATAATTTGTACTTTTCCAAGAATACATATCCCATAAACCCCATTCCTCCAATTTTTTCATATGTTAAGATAAGCTAACAAAGTGAGTTTCTTTCTTTCATCAGGTGAAAGAAAAGTCTGTACCTTTCCAAGGATACACGAGCTTCTCGTCCTGGTCGCAATCTGGAATTGGATTTTCGGTTTTCTTGCGCTTAGACGAGGGCTCTGCATCTGCAGCTGAATCAGCAAGATCTTGTTGGAGGTATTTGACAAGAGCAAGGTGGCTTGCTTTCTCCTTTGGGCTTCTTTTTTCAGAGTTGCTATTACCAACTCCAGCAGCATGTTGGAGGAGATCTTTGTACTGAAAGCTCGGTTTCTTCTTGTTCGGACAATAAGGACACACGAAAGCTTGAGGAGAGAGTTTCACATTGAGCTTCCCACCTTTGAGATTCCGGTAGATTTTGTCACCGTACTCTTCCATTTCAGATTCACTGATATCTGAATCTTCTTCGTCTGAGCTCAAAATCACCATGCTCCCCATCTTGTTCCTTGCTTTAGTTTACAGATTTTTTAAAAAAATTGATATCAATTATCAAGAATTTCAGAAATTTAGAAGAAGAAAAAAATCTGATCTGCCTTTGAATTTCAACAATGCAGCTCCCTTCCATGACATTTTTCCCCTAAATATTATTCCTTTTGTCACAAAAAAGTTATTCCTTTTTATTCTTGAGCAAGCATTATGTGAATTGCATGTTTAAATTTTTAACAGAAATTATGAAGATGAGTTTAAAATCGAAGAGCTTCAGAGGATTAAGTAGAAGGGAATTGAGCAGAGAGTTCGAATTGAAACGAGATCGATCTTTAAATCTCTGTTTTTGTCCTCGTTTCTGAAGAATGCAGATAAAGAAAAGATTTAACTGGAGAAACTTACAGGAGGAAGAAGAAGAAGAGAGGATGGCGAAGCCGGCGATCGGTACTCAGTGTCCGGAAGAAGAAGAATCTCTCTCCTCTTTCACCTCTCTCCTCCTCGCTTTACTCTCTTCAATTGTTTTGTGTCGCCAAAACTTTCACTTGCTTTTACTTTAGGGTTCAAGAAAAATGTTGTATACTCTTTTTTATTGTTTTATTAATTTTTCCCATCAGAGATTAAAAAAATGAAAAAATCAATAAAAGAAAAGATGAGAGTGAAAGGATAACAAATATCCAATGCAAAATATCACTGTATAATTCTATTTTTTATCTTAAAATAAAACAAATGTATAATAGAATTATATTTTTTTCAATGTATAATTTTATTTTCTATTCTATTTTTTCTATTTTATTATTAATTGTTAATTGATCCATTATTTTTTTAAAATTTACAAATTGATTCAATAATATTATTCAATTTTTTATAAATTATACTAAATTTTAAATTTAATTATTATAGTTGATGTCATTATATTTTCTATTAAATAAATATTGTTTTTATTTTAATTTTAGTATTTTAATATTTATAATAATCAATAAAAAGAAATTATCAATAAACTAATAATTTATTAGTTTTAAAGTATAATTATTTAAATTTTGAACGACTAATTTCTAAATTAAAATATTTAAATTTATAATATAATTAAAAATGGGATGGTTCCAAATTTGAAATAAAAAATAGCATTATTCTATTTTAGAATAAAAAATAGAATATAATTAGAATAGAATTTATATTAAAATAGAATATAATATCGGATTTAGAATGAAGTTAAAGATACTCTAAACAATAATCGGCCGGTCAAAACAAACCTGACGTTTTTATTTAGAAATTAAGTAGAGATTTTTTTATATAAAATTTTATCTGTACATATGTATATCAAATAATCGCAACAAATTTGACATATATAGTTTTGTATAGACGTTTTTTCTAGTTTTGTAAGTTATAATAGTTTTTTATATGTTTAATTTTGTTAACTTCTCATCAATAACCCATTTTTTTTGGGGGGGGGGGGGAGGGGGGGAGGGCTGTGATGTCATAGCTTAATTTCAGCTATCTCTAGTTTTTTTTAAAAAGTATTGTCATTTTTACTTATTTTTATTCATATTTAGTAAATTATGATAGATTTACAATACTAAAAATACCCGATTTCAAACTTTCAAAACTTCTTAAAAAATAATTATTTTTATGTTTCCAATTTTTGACCGAATATATCAAATATATTGTAGTTGGCCATAATCGACCACGGCATGAGCCTTTTCAAACATGAGTAGGTCTGTTCTTTTCGTTGATGCAGCGGTAATGTTCAGTGTCTAAAAATTATAAAAAAGAAAGAAAATAAATAACAGTGTTGTCCTCCAAGTTTCTGTCGCAGATTCTTCAAAAACACCGGCATCTTCTGAATTTTCGATCGCATAGTTTCTATAGCATCACAAATTCTTTAATTTTTCTGTCGCAGTGCTCCCTGCGTCCAATTAACAATAGTAAGAAGAAGATTTCCCTCATCTTCAAGTGTTTTTTTTTTTTTTTGCTAAATCATCAAGTGTATTTTTTCAGTCGCTGAATATTGGGGTTGCGTCAACGAAAAGAACAAAGCTAGTAAAAGTAAAAACTGACCTCATCAAATATTACTTTCTCTACAAATTAAGTTTTTATTTATTTATATAAAATATTCGATTTATTTTTCTTCCTAGAGTGGAATATTTAGTCGAGAAACTTTGCTTATGCATGTCTTTTTAAATTGTAGCGTGAAATAGTAAAAATCTTTTCATTTTCAAAAAAGAAACATCTTTTGTTGGAATAATCACACTATTTTTTCTGTATTCGTTCTTACACAGTCTTGGAACTTGTACAAATAGTTGTTTTTGTCACACTACTTACCATTTACGACGTGGAAAAGAAGAACAATTTTGTGGATCTCCAAGGTTTTGTTTATTCACGTGGCGTCGACGCGCTAGTCAAGCGCGTTTTCATACGGTTACAAGTTACATCGTACTTTCACATTCACAGTGACGTCTTACGATTTACGAATCTACTTCTGTGTTACTTCAATCACTTCGGAGAATCTAAAGATAAAACCGTGTCGGGTCTAATTTTAAAGCCCATTTGTTTTTACAAGCCTTTTGACGTTTTTTTCAATTCACAAAGCCGACAGCACAAGGGTAAGTTTTGTTTGGGTCTGGTTAATATTCTTCTCTTAATTTTTTTTTTTTTTTTTGGGTTACATGAACTGCATAATCAAAATTTAAAGCGTAACGTGTTTTTCTATTTTGCTTAATTTTAAAAAGTATTAATTGTTGTTTTCAACTAGTTCTTATGAGACATTTATAGATTTATAGTTTGTGGTCAATGTCAAGCTTAACGTTTTACAATCATATAATACAAACTCGATACTATTACTAGTGATATGTAGTAAGGTAGATAATTGACGAAAGATAGAAACTGCTTAACAAATCATTAAATGTCATGTTGAACGAAATGGCCAAGTCCGTTTCTCTTTAGACTCTTAACCATTTCAAGCAATTTCGTTTATACAACGAACCGAACCAGACCAAACGTAACCCAGCATTCGTAGTGCTTAAACCGGATTCTAACCAAACCCAATCTAATGCAAGTTAAGTTTTTGCCAGTTTCACTCGAACAAGCAAAGGTGCGCCTAACCATCACATTCAAATCCACAATCAACAAACTCAGAACACGATTAAACTGGAAACCAAACAGAGACACAAAACCCAGAATCAAACAGAGCATATATTGAAAAATAACTTAATGCATATTAAGATTCAGATTCAAATATTCGAAAATGTTTACAATACAAATAGAATTATAAACAAAACCATAAAAAAAAGGAGCAAACAAACCGGTAAAAAGAACACGACGATCAATTAGACAACCGGGAAATCACGGAACCGGTACGGAAGAATCAACCGGTATAGATGTGGAGACGAATGGCGATGGTGAAGATGGTGATGAGACCGAAGAAAATGATGGTATGGACGAGAATCGACGCGCCGCTTGTCTGCATATTCCCGAATTCGACGACACGACCTCTCGCCGGAATCTGAAAGAGAAGTCCCGGAGTCAAAAGCACGAACAGTACCACAGCGATCACTACAGGGCCCCAATCCGCCATTCTTTTGGTAAGTAGAGAGAGAGAAATTGCAGAGAAGAAGTTAGTTAGAGAGAGAAAATGGTTGAGAGAGTTTTCGTTTTTGTGTTTTTTGAGTTTGAAGAGTCCGAGAAACGTCCTCGTGCGGTGTGAAAAGGAAACGGCCGGTGGCTGTGTCACGTGTGGGATACGTTGTTTTCGAACGACGTGACACGTGAGTCCGTGACTAATGTTAGGTTTATAACGGAGAAAGATTAAATTGGGCTCATCTACAATCTGAATCTTTTTGGGCTGAATCTCAATCTGGCCCAATACATAAACCTATAATTCACAACTTTGATTGAAAATCTTTGTCTAGTTTGCCAAGGTAGGTTGATTTTCTTGTTATCTCCAATATCCTCCAATCCACTTGCAGTCTTGCACTGAGTCACTGTCACTGACATATACTTCTCCTCTTTACAGAAAAGGGGCAAGTGAGAGAGATACATTATATTATATTTAAATTTGGTTAAGGACAAAAACCTAAAAAGTCTTATAGCCATATGAATGTATTCGGTGTTCACACCACCAAATCTAGTTGGTTGGTATGACGTAGTCAGTTCACTCACGAGCTCAGTGGCTAACTTGTGGGCGACTCTTTTTTTCTTTTTCTTCCCTCCTTGTTATCTTTTCTTTTTTGCTTCACTCTACTTATATTTATCTATGTTTCCTACAATTTACTTTTTCTAAGAAATGTACTTGTAATGTCACAAAATAAAGGTACGTCATAATAGCGAAGAAATTGTTGAAATTCATTACTAGTTTCTATATCAAACATAACTTCGTTTGTACTTTTTTGTTTTAACATGTTCATCGATCACGACAAAATTGCATCTCATTTTCGGTAACGCTGAAAAAGAGGAAGAAGCAACGGGGTATTGACTGACCGTCATGTTTTTAATTAGCGAAAATTTATAGATTCGCTAAATAAATCTGTTTTTTTTCGTGTTATTGTGGATAACCTAAGTGAATATAGTAAGTGTTCATCTTTTACCATCACTTCATTTCAAACAATCATATGGTAAACTAAAAGCATTAGCGTATATTAATGTTGTTGGTACATACATACTCCTAAAATAGCATTTTAAATTTTATGTTTAAAGTTTAAACTCCAGTATACACATTTTTATAGATTGTGGATCCAGTTTGCTATTCTTAAACTAAATCGTTTGTCAAGATCTCAAATGTTTTAAAAAACTATTAAGAACTCTAGGAATCCACATGTAACGTAAGTCCAATATCTTTTCTTCTCGTGCATATTCTTATTCCAAGTTTTTAACTCACATATTAATCAGCCTAAATTTCGGATTTTCATTGACCAAGAAATAAAAGTGTAAATCTCTGAGTTTTACGTAGTAATTTTTCTTAGTGAGAACAGAATCTTCTTTTACAAAACGAGCCCACCTAAATTAAATTAAAGCATTGGTGGAAGAGAAAAAAAAAAAGAGCAGTAAATAGACGCCATAGCTTTTAGTTCTTGCTCTCCACACTTCACAGTTCCCCACAAACCACAAATCTTCCCCCTTCATTTATTACTTTTTCATTTTTTTTTCGAGTTTCTCGTTTTAATCAAATCTTACCACTCTTTACTCTTTCTGCGTCTTTTGAAAGAAATTGTTTTTTGTTTCTTTTTTTTTATGGTTTTAAAGAGACAACAATCTCTCCACTGTCTCTTTATGTTCTTTCTGATACCAAATCCAAAGCAAAACAAAACCACAGAATCAATATCCTCTTCCTTTCTCAGATTTTAAATTACTCCATTCATGAAACCATCAGCTTCCAGATTTTCTTTTACTTTCTCACACTTTCTCGCACTCTACTGTCTTCTCACACAGACCCATGTAGCTCAAGGATCCCATCAATGGCAATCTCCAATCAAAACCGTCGTTGTTTTGGTAATGGAGAATCGATCTTTCGATCACCTCTTAGGGTGGATGAAGAAATCGGTTAACCCGTCGATAGACGGTGTTACGGGTCAGGAATGTAACCCGGTTCCGAATTCTACCCAAACCATTTGCTTCACTAGTGATGCTGAGTTTGTGGATCCGGATCCGGGTCATTCGTTTGAGGCTGTGGAGCAACAGGTATTCGGGTCGGGTCAGATCCCGTCCATGATGGGTTTCGTTGAGCAAGCGTTTTCGATGCCGGGAAATTTGTCGGAAACGGTCATGAAAGGCTTCCGGCCTGAAGCTGTACCGGTTTATGCGGAGTTGGTTAAAGAATTCGCTGTGTTTGACCGGTGGTTTTCTTCGATTCCCGGTCCGACTCAACCAAATCGGTTATTCGTCTATTCGGCTACCTCACATGGTTCCACAAGCCATGTCAAGAAGCAACTCGCTCAAGGGTATATTTGATTTTATTTTTAATTGGTCCTAATTAGACACTGATTATTATTAATCGCGGAATTTATAAGTTTTCTTTCCATCGCAAATCATTGTGTAATTGAATTAGCATTGATAATTATTTTCTTAGTTTTTATTTGCTTTTTAAAGCAGTTAGTGGTTATTTAATTTTTCAATGAATGTTATGGCCTTATGGGGGTTTGAACATTTTAAGTAAAGTATTTCCCCTTTTTAAAGCAATAATTTTGTTTTGTCATTTGATTTCAGGTATCCACAAAAGACGATATTCGATTCGCTCCACAATAACGACATTGATTTCGGAATATACTTCCAGAATATTCCGACGACATTATTCTACCGTAATCTCCGACAGCTAAAATACATTTTCAAATTGCATCAATACGATTTGAAATTCAAGAAAGACGCAGCACAAGGAAAGTTACCGAGCTTAACCGTCATCGAACCGAGGTATTTCGACCTGAAGGGCTTACCGGCCAACGATGATCACCCATCGCACGATGTGGCTAACGGTCAAAAGCTGGTTAAAGAAGTGTACGAGGCACTTAGGTCGAGTCCACAATGGAACGAGACGCTACTAGTCATAACCTATGATGAGCATGGTGGGTTCTATGATCATGTGAAGACTCCTTATGTCGGTATACCAAACCCGGATGGAAATACCGGACCGGCCCCTGGTTTCTTTAAATTTGACCGGTTAGGTGTTCGGGTACCTACCATTATGGTTTCACCTTGGATTCAGAAAGGAACCGGTAAGATCTCTTCTTCTTTTTTTAGCAATGATTTCTCTATGATAGTTTTACAAATTTATTCTTAGTGGACTGCTTTTTAAGTATATTTTTGTTGTGAAGCTAATAACCAAATAGGAAAATAGTATTAAAAACTCCGCTTTGGAACATAATTTATTGATATATAAATTAATTTATAACTTATAGGTATATATATTCGTATATTATGCCTATTGCATATAAATATTTCTAGCTTCTATAGGTGTTTACTTATTTTACAAAATGTTAGTATTTCAACATACTATTTTTTTTCTCCAAATTTCTTTGAAAGATAGTGTTTTTCACAATGAAGAAAAACCATCTGCTAAGTGGAAAACTATTTATTCTTTAATCCCAAAAAAAGAAAGTAATTTGTGTTTCATGTGTTTCCACTTTCAACTCTACTATTTTCGACAGACTTTTGATATTTGCTATCAAAATATTCAAGGCTGCAAAAAAAACCAAATCACATGGATAGATTTGACAACTATAACATTATTTAATACTACTTTCTTGATTGTATCCATTAATTGTGGTGATAGAAAAAATAATTGAAATCTATTGATTATTCCATTGAAAGAAGCTGTGTATTATAATTTGTCGGCGTCGTAGCGTGACTCATGTTTTCAACATACTCTGACCCCATTTCATTAATTTATTTTTATTACATAGTTTAATAACATCGTTTACTTTATTATTTGTGCGAGTGTAGTGGTGAGTGAGGCAAAAGGGCCAACAGAGAGCTCAGAGTATGAGCATTCATCAATACCAGCGACCATCAAGAAACTCTTCAATCTCTCTTCCAATTACTTAACACATAGAGATGCTTGGGCTGCTACTTTCGAAGACGTGGTATCTCACTTAACCTCTCCTCGAACCGATTGTCCCATGACTCTTCCTGAAGTTGCACTCATGAGAGCCACTGAGCCTAAAGAAGACGCAGCTCTTTCTGAGTTTCAGAGCGAAGTGGTTCAACTTGCAGCGGTTCTCAATGGAGATCACTTCCTCAGTAGCTTCCCGGATGAAGTTGGGAAGAAGATGACTGTGAAACAAGCTCATGAGTATGTCAAAGGAGCTACTTCTCGGTTTATACGAGCTAGCAAAGAAGCAATGAAGCTAGGTGCTGATAAATCTGCCATTGTCGATATGCGATCTTCGCTCACTACACGGCCACGCAACCTGTGACCAACGACGAAAATGATTACAAATCTTGTGAAAATTTTGTAGGTTTTTGGTTTTGTTTTGTTTTGCTTGCATTCTTCTTCCTCTGTTATGATCTGAAAACGTGTGGTTTGATGTTTGAAAGAAACAAAGAACTAGACAAAATTTATTGTAAGTGTCACTATATATGTACTTATGAACGATTAGATTGATAGCGCTATCATCTTTTCTCGCCATTGTGATCTATATTAAGTGTTTTAGTAGATTATAATTTGATATTAAAACCTACAATTCTTCCACAGAAAAATGCATTTGGATTCCAGAAACATCCCTCAATAGCTGCATCGTATTAAGCAAATGATTACAAGAACATGCAAAAGTATATATATATATATATATATATTAAGAAAAAAAATTTCACTGATGTTTTGCTATTTTTCCCCCTATTTTGAAAGACAACTAGATAAGGTCAGTTGACTTTTTCTCTTATCTCTCTCTTAGATAACTAGATAAGGTTAGTTAAATTTTACTAGTTAGGAAAAACTAGAAATTAGGAAAATTTGTTTACTCTCTCACACTATCAGATAATCATCCTAAAAAATCTCTATTACATACCCAGTCCACGCATAGGCAATTCTCTTTCCTATATAAATCTCCACCTTTTTCTTCTTCTTGAAAGAATAACAACCAAAAGAAAATCAAGAATGAGAGGAAAATATCTTTATTTACTAGTGCTTATCATTACCTTGGCCTCCTCCAATGAAGTTGTTGCCAAGAACAAGTCTTCAGCACCTAAATTAAGAAGAAGTGATTTCCCACAAGATTTCATTTTTGGGGCTGCGACATCAGCGTACCAGGTAGAAGGAGCTGCTCATGAAGATGGACGAGGACCAAGTATCTGGGATACATTCTCTGAAAAACACCCAGAGAAGATACAAGATGGTAGCAACGGGTCAATAGCAGGTGACTCTTACCGTCTTTACAAGGATGATGTGGCTTTACTGCATCAGATTGGCTTCAATGCCTACAGATTCTCAATCTCTTGGTCGAGAATCTTGCCTGGTGGGAATCTAAAAGGAGGAATCAACCATGCTGGTATTCACTATTACAACAAGTTGATCAATAAGCTTTTGTCCAAAGGAATCAAGCCTTTTGTCACAATTTTTCATTGGGATACACCACAAGGCCTTGAGGATGCTTACGGTGGGTTTCGTGGAGGAGAGATCGTGAACGATTTCCGAGACTATGCGGATATTTGCTTTAAGAATTTTGGTGACAGAGTGAAGCATTGGATGACATTGAACGAGCCCTTGACTGTGGTGCAACAAGGATATGCTGTAGGTGTAATGGCTCCAGGAAGATGCTCCAAATTCACAAACCCTAATTGTACCGCCGGAGATGGAGCCACCGAGCCTTACATCGTCGGTCACAACCTCCTCCTCGCTCATGGAGCAGCCGTCAAAGTCTACAGAGAAAAATACAAGGTCAGTAAAATAAAGGCAACATCCGTTCTGTTTCTTGATCTCCAAGTTACCAAAAAATGTCCTACGTTACATTTATAACCATATCAACCCTAGAAAAATTATCTAGTTAATAATCACGGAATCTTAATATGTTCATTCCATTTCCGACTGTGATGAATCTGTTCTTGAATTCTGTTCAACAGGCATCTCAAAAAGGTCAAGTAGGTATTGCTTTGAACGCGGGTTGGAACTTGCCCTATACAGAATCGGCCGAGGATAAGTTAGCCGCGGCACGAGCCATGGCCTTCACATTCGACTACTTTATGGAGCCGCTTGTGACCGGTAAATACCCGGTCGACATGGTCAACAACGTAAAAGACGGTCGCTTGCCTACATTCACTGCACAGCAATCAAAGATGCTTAAGGGCTCATATGATTTCATTGGCATCAATTATTACTCATCTTCTTACGCAAAGGATGTCCCTTGCTCCACCGAAAACGTTACATTGTTCACTGATCCTTGTGCAAGCGTCACAGGTGAAAGAGAAGGAGTTCCCATTGGTCCAAAAGCTGCATCGGATTGGCTTTTGATATATCCAAAAGGGATTCGTGATCTTGTCCTCTATGCAAAATACAAGTTCAAGGATCCGGTCATGTACATAACCGAGAACGGGAGAGATGAAGCTAGTAGAAACGGTAAAATCTTGCTTAAAGACGGCGAGAGAATCGATTTCTACGTTCGACATCTTGAGATGGTTCGTGAGGCTATCTCGGTTGGAGCCAATGTGAAAGGATTTTTCGCGTGGTCGCTGCTAGACAACTACGAATGGGCAAACGGTTACACGGTCCGGTTCGGGTTGGTTTACGTAGATTTCAAAGATGGATGTAAGAGATATCCCAAGAAATCGGCTCACTGGTTCAGAAAGTTGTTGCATCAAAAGAAAAGCAACTGATGAGATTTGTTTCGTTCTATTTTATCAGATATCTCCGTTATTATTATTTTTTTTAGAAGTGAGATTTATAATTAACTTAATTATTATTGTTGAACCAGAATATCACCACTAGCGTTTTAATTAATGGTAGTTGTGGGTTTCGGAGAATAAGATTGTTTATTAATAACAACAAAGCGAAGTGATCACAAAGAATAAGATAACCGAAAGGTTATGTCGAAGTGAAAAATGTGTTTGCGAAGTGAACTAGAAAGCGTTGGAGTCTCTGGTTTTAGCTATGCTGCTCTCTAGAATGTATGAATTGGTCTTCTTAGCTTCGAGGTCTCTTTATTTATAGGGATAGGAGGTCATTTACTCTGAACTCCTTTTCATTTTTCCCTTTGGTCAATATTTCCACATTTGCATGGAAATATCCCTTATTTTCTGAAGAATATGGAAATTCTCCTTTATCCTTCGAGTTGATCCGATGTTTCCAGTCTTCGAAGGTTATTCTTAGGAGTTTTCCTTTTTCCCGAGCTAGGTCGGCGCAATCCTCCTAATCTTGATGGGCTTAGGTTACTACTACAGAAAGCCTTTTTAGGAAATATGCTAATTTCCCCTCTAACAGTAAGTCCTCCCCCCAGTTCGGCGAGACTGATTGTAAATCAGGTCGGCAGACTTCGTGAAGTTTTAAAAGGGTTTGATCTCGCATTAAGCGTTGCCTCGTCAAAAGTGTTTCTTCGCGATGGCCAGCTCGGCCTGGCTTTAAGTAGAGTTGACGTGTGGCGCTTCCTTGGAATTAATTATTAAATATTCTGACCTTTTTAGGGTTTTTCTTGAAGCGGAAAAGGCGAAAGATTTGCCAGGCGGCGAGATTATGCGAATCTCGACATGTGTCCCTTTAAGAAGCTGTTGATATTTCCTTATGATATCATTACTTACTTTTTATCTCTTCGTCTTCTTGTTCCAAAATTTTCTTCTTCATATTGTTGTTGGTGAAATTTGTCTCGTTGCTGTAAGAGATTTTTACTTTCTTCGCCGATCTTCCTTCATTTTCCTTTAATCTTCTAGAAATATCGTTTTTTGCTGAAAAATGTCGAACTCATGAGAAAGTTTCTCTTTTGATGATGACGAGATTTCTCTCGCCGCTCAGCGAGCTTGGGTTAGTCCCGTTCCTTCTGCTTCGGGTTCTGGGGAATCCTCGGGCTATCGAGATGAGATCTCGCCAGACGGCCCCGACATTGATTCCAAGCTGGAGTCAGAGAACTTCGAACCTGAGGGCTTTGAGCCGGAGAGCAGGATTTTTAGGGTTTTTCTTGAAGCGGGAAAGGCGAAAGATTTGCCAGGCGGCTAGATTATGCGAATCTCGACACGTGTCCCTTTAAGAAGCTGTTGATATTTCCCTATGATTTCATTACTTACTTTTTATCTCTTCGTCTTCTTGTTCCAAAATTTTCTTCTTCGACACCAGGTTTTCGTGATGTCGAAGCACAGGACTGGCATTAAAGATGGGAATACCTGGATGACCGCTGAGAGACTCCAGGAGCTTCGATCAAAATGCTGTTTTCCCGAGGGAATCGAGCTTCTACTCCCCCAAGTTCACGAGAGAGTGACAACACCGCTGGAGGGCTATTTCTGTGTCTACGAATGCCACGTTGCGGATTTTGGCCTCCAGTTCCCTATCTCGCTGTTTCTGCGCTATTACGAACGGCGGAAGATGCCAGTGGTGCAGCTTTCTCATGCTGAGATTCGCCATTTCAAGAGTCTGGCGACGGTAGCTCGTACCGCGATGGTTCCTTTCAACTGGGATATCTTTGAGAGGATATCTATCCTGAAGAAAGGGAGGTTGAACCGTGGCGGGTGGCGTAATTTTTATACTTCGATAAAGGAAGGAATTGTCAGTGGGGACCCGACAAGTAAAGTCCACGAATGGGACTGGTTATTCTATGTGAAGATTAACGAGGCTTCCATTGGCAGTTCCGAGCTTAATTTATTCAGGACTTGGAGGTCGACGCCCTGTAAGGCTCGCTAATTTTTAATTTACTTTTCTCAGCTAATTCTCGGAAGCTGATGCGTTCCTCTTTTTTTATGGTAGTGGCAATACGTCTTGGAGAAGACCCGTTTGGGTTTGATGTCGATGTCATGAAGCTGCGTGACCTGAGCCGGAAGTTATTGTCCGAAAAGGGGAAGAAGGGGGCCGCTGATGAGAGAAAGAAGTCGGCCAAGAAGAAAACTGGTTCTCTGAAAGCAGGTGTGTTAGATCGAAGTAGTTTTGATTAATATTTTTGTTGGCGACGAGGTCTCATTGGCGCGTTTGTTTTTCCGCTGCTAAAAGGTCTTCGCAGTCGAAGCCCGAAGGGGCTGGCCAAATGAAGAGGAGGACGGCTCCGTTAACGAATGCAGATGCTCTCGCGAGCTCCTCTATGAAGAGAAGGAGGACGACTTCTCGAGATCCACCTGTTTTGGTGGATTCTGACGACGCCGAGCTGGCCGCTGAGAATGAGACTCTCGCGAGGTAAATTTCTTTTCTCATTTCGCGTTTTACTTTGTTGCGCCGAGATGATGTTTGACATCGTTCTTTTTCCCCTTCCTTTTTTTTTTAAAGTTTCTCCAGGGCAGCGGCACTGGAAAGGTTGGGGCGAGCTCGAGCCGAGGAGGCTGCGGGGGTCCCTCAAAGCGAATTGTTTCAGAGAAATACCTCCCAAGCCGAAGGCGGGGATGGTGGGGGTCCTTCAGGTGCTGCCGCGGAATATCGCGAGGACGTTCCCTTGCCGCCCCGACTGATGTTCCTTTGCCGCCCCGGGAAGATACTCCTAAGAGTTTTGGTGTCCAGGACACGGAAGATGCAGGTCGGGAAAGGACCAAGGAGCCTGTTGTGGCTCATTTTGAGGGACCTACTCTTTCTCAAGATGCTCCAAACGCTGACGGTGCCGGTCCTAGCGCTCCCGCTGAGCCCAAGCTAGAAGATGAGTTCTTCGATTACAACCCTAATTACTTTAGTGTGAAGTAGGATGTAGCTACTACGGCAATGCTTGATCGCGACTTCGCCGCCAAATTGATCTGGAAGTGCAGGGAGAACCCGAGATGGGGCAAACCTCTATGAGAGTTGAAGCTGGCAAAGTCGATATCTTCGGCGAACAATTTGATAGCTCAGGTATGCATACTTTTCTTTATGTTCTTTATTTTGTTTTCTGCACGCTTTTCTTAATGGTAAGCTATAGTGTAGGGATTGGGAGAGTACATATCTGCGTTTGCAACATATGACAACTAATATTGCGAGGAAGCAATGATGTTGGACATTGTCTGCACCAAAATCGAGGAGCTCAAAAAGGTAGAAAAGGAGAATCAGCTTCTAAAGGAGAGGTGCGCCCAGCTCGAAGGTACTATCGAAGTCTTCAAAAGCAAAGTGGTGGAAGCTTCCCGGCTTCATAAGCAGTGGCTGCCCTCTGTGCGCAGAACAAGTTGCTTGAGAAGCAGAACGTGGAGAACTCGTAAAGATTCCTCGTCGAAAAAGAAAAGCTTTAAAGTCCTGTTACGAGGTAGCGCGAGGTGTTGCTGATAGGATTTTTGACAGCATGATCGCTTGGTTTAAGCCGCGACTAGATCGGATTCAAGCGTCACTGGTTCAGTGCGAAGAAGTAGAAGCAGCCCTTGTGGGCGTAGAGAAGAGTAGCTTAATGGTGGCTTTCATGAAGAAGATGCAGGACAAGGGATGGGAACTCCCTGCAGGAACTCTCACGTCTTCGAGAGAGAGAGTTTGCTAAGTGGAAGGCTACCAGCAATGCTATCGATGAGATAGTCATTACCGGCAAGGACCTTGACCTCCCGAGCAGATCAGAAATCGATAGCCTGCTGAAGCGAGCGTAAAGGGAGTCAAGAGTCATCGCGCATTTAGATGCTTTTATTTGGATAGATTTTTATTCGATTGGCCCTTGCGAGGTCTTTGTTTTATTATTATTTTTTGTAATAACTTTGCCTGAGAGGGTTTTTTATAATGAATGTCGTTTTCCCTTTTTCTTCCTTTTTCTTCTGAGAGTAAGATCTTTCGTTTAATCTTTCAAAGTTTCTGTTGTGCGATGAACTTTTTAGTTCGGAACTGGAAGCAGGATTCCTTTGCTCGTCTTATACCAAACGACGATCAAGATCGAATACCAAGTTTTCAGGATTCACTTCGGCCTGAAAGGTATGATCGAGGATCGTGCGAGTGTTGTCCTTGGCTTTCTACTTATCCACTTCGGAAGTAATTAAATCGAGCCAAAGTATCAAAGGAGTGGTGATCACCAGCCACTGTTTTTTTTATTTGTTGTGTTTGCTTTTTCGAATCGAATGTTTGGCCAGAACATCGATTCAGCAAAATGCATTCGCATAAGAAAATTTGATTCTACACGCCGAGCTGATTTTCCGAAATGAAAAGTTATTAAATTTACAGATGCACCCGGGGGTTGCCTACGTATCCAAATTGGGATCAAGCCGTTCGTAGTTCACTACAATTATGGAATGAGTGTTTGTCACTCAGGGGCCAAGCCGACCCTTATTGATTAAAAAAAGACTTAATACTTAAGGCTGTTGTTGAATCTATTCTGCTTGTTTTGCGTCTTCGAGGGCTTTTGCCGCAAAGAGTCAAACCTTGCGCTCGCTAATGAAGCAAGATCTTGCCATCTGCTGATAACCGTGAAGCGTGAAAACTCCAGCCGAAGTGGCAAACTTCATGCATTGATGGTAGGTCGACACGATAGTTTTCATCTCGTGGATCCAGGGTGTGCAAGTATGGCATTATAGATTGCTGGTTTATCCATGGCGGTAAATTTGACAATTTTTTTCACTCCGCCAATGTAGACATATGGTCCCGAGACTGAAGAAGGACTCGCTGGCAAATCCAGTAAATGGCTTTGTTGCTTTCTTGATATCTTTGTCTTGGAGCCCCATCTTGGTCAAAGTATCTTTAAAGATGATATTGACAGTGCTGCCGGTATCCACCAATATTTTAGCCACCTCATTGTCGTGGATGTGTAGTTCGACCGTTAGCGGGTCGTTGTGCGGGGTGTGTAAACCGTGCATGTCTTTCAACGTGAACGTGATTGTTGGGTGGTAGTCCACTAGACGGGGGAATTTTCGCGAGGCGATTGCTTTGCGGCTGTATTCTTTGATGGTGCGAACCAAATCGTTGCAGTCGGGGAGTCCTCCCATGATCATGTTAACCTGTCGCTTT